CTTGATTATACATGTAAGTATCCCTAGTAATCATTTAAATAAAATTGAACTGATAGACGAAGAAGGCTTTACACAATAAGCAATGTTAATAACCACGCCATTTTAGACAGCAAAGCATGTAGGACATCATGCTAAATTTATGTTGTACGTTTTATGGACAATAATTTGTGCGCATAGGAGGACATTTTTGGTTGTCATGAACAAGTCAGTGCTAGGACTACATCATCCATCATTCTCTTTTGCAAAGCGCTACACAATGCTATCATGTCATGGCTCAATTTCGTTCTATGTAGCTGGTTTTTTTGCAACCACGCTTGTATGACTTAGCATGTTAACAYTGAGCCCATTGTTATCGTCAGTGCAATGATGTGAAAAAATATAATCATGCAGCTGAGAAAACCCCCCATGGGAGGGGGGGGGGGTACTCCCATATATTTGCTATACGGGGACGTGCCGCTGGCCAGGGCATGGTTTTTGGCCTTGCTGTTTTAAACAGGGTATATATTTCACCCGGAATTGTCTTAAACAGGCTCTACAATTTAGATAAAAGACCGATGTAATTTTTTTGTGTCTTGGACAGGGTAATATTTTAGTAAAAAGCACCGTACAAATAGTAGAAATACCGTTTCCCTGTAACAGGATTAACGTGTTATCAAAAACTTCTTATTATTGTCTTTGATGGATGTCAGTATAACTGCAATTTTGATGGTTGCGGCGTAGATAGATATTCCTTATTTTTCGATTTGTCTTGAACAGGGTATGGATTTTCACTTTTTAGTGTATTAAACAGGGTCAGGGGTTTAGACCGCTGGCGGCACGTACCTATCCAAAACGGGGTTGAGTACCCCCCCCCCCCGGGGGGGGGGGAAAACCCCATAGTTGTATTCTGAGAAATGTTCTATTACTGAAAAGAACACACAGGCTCATTAGAATACGATTCACTCCACTAAAATATTTCGACGAAGGGAGTTTCTGAGTTTTTATACATTATTGGCAGCTCATCTTTACTTTCATGAGCTATGTTTATGCTGAGCTGATCAAAACAAAAAGTCGTACTTCGAGCTATCTCGTATCAACATAGAGCAAGACGAGTTAACGATTGAAAATATGCGTTAGTATGCTTTTATCACGTCTGCTTTGACCATCAAAGTTTACAAATTAAGACTTTTATCCATGATACTTAATTTGGCATAGTTTAGATTTTCTCTCTGGGTCTCAGAAGTCAGTTATAGAAGAATAGTCTTCTTTACATCGAAAGATCGAAGAGAGACAACCGTTGAACGTGCAATGATAGATACCTGTGTATAATTGTCTGTTGAAAGAACATTTCTATCATTGCACGCTCAACGGTCACCTTTCTTCGATACAAACGCACCGCTGCCTTTCATGGAACCGTAAAGAAGAATATACTAATACTGCAGATAGAAAGATAGATAGATTTATTAAACTCTAHATTGCAGATGTACACTGAATTGCATAGTTA